CTGTTACTGAGAACTTGAATCTTCTAGATGATAGCTTCGTAGTTCTTCATGTTTTCGCTCCATATGCTAGAACCGTCTTGACATATGTATTGAAAATTCTGAATTTGGTGTTAGTTGACAGTTGTTTTGAGTTCTAGATGCTGTTCAGTCGTAGAGTTCCTGCACTTGCTGTCCCGATCAGTGTCTTTATACCTGCATCGGTTCGACCCTCCACGTCGGCGATGCTGCCAGGATATGTTGAGGTTTTACCGTCCTCCAAGGCATCTCTGTCAAGAGTGATTTGTTTTCCGGTTTGACGAATCTCTCTTTCTTCTTCTTGAATGCTGAGACCTGCAGTTGCTGAGGCTGACGCTACACGTTTCGTCTTACCTTGATTTTGTTGTTGCATGTGCGATGAAAGAGCCAGATCGTCAAGCTGAATCTTGGCTTTCTACCGTATCCAGCGCTTACCTATAGATATTCACATCTTCAAAATCAGGTCAGTCACCAGGAAAAAGATAAGACAACACTGACTGAACAATTCTGTCAGCTGGCCACGCACGATTTTGCATTTTAATACATCATAAAAACTATGTATAATGTTTCCTATCTTCTCACGCATGCCGCAGTTTTGACGAAGCCTGCATAGTGTTTTCCTATCCACGCCATCGAATGCTTTCTCGTAGTAGATGAAGTTGATGTAACGTGTTTAGTTCAACTCAAATGATTGTTTCATAATGATCCGTGATGTTGAAGTTTGGTCAGAACGGGATCGATGCTAACGAGATCCAAACTTCTGCTCTCGAAGCTGGGCGTCCATGAAGTCCTTCATTCTGTTTAACAATACCCTGTTGAATAATTTGTCTGGTATTTAGAGAACAGTGATGCCTTCGTAGTTCTCACATTTTCTGAGATAGCCTTTCTTTGGTATTTTGACTAGGTGTCTTTCTTTCATTTTGGCCACCAGAAGCTATATCAGCTCCTCTCTTGGTTCTCACATCCTCCATGGTTGTTCTAAACTTGTCGATACAAATATGGTCGATTTGGTCCTGATTAGTGTGATACAGTGAATATTTTGCCTTCGATGACCAGTTTGTTGAAGGCAAACAGGTTTGCGAATCTCTCACCGTTTTCGTTTCTTTCTCCCAGTCCATATCGTCCCATGATGCCTTCATTCTAGTGTTGTCTATGCCAACCTTTAGATTTATGACTCCTCTGCTAATCGCCGAATGCTTTGCTGAGCATCTGTCGACGATTGACTGAGGCCTTTCGTGGAAATGATCCTTACCGTCGTCACTGTAATCACTGATAGGTGAATAGCATTGAATGAAGATCAATGTATTGTACTCTTTCTTTGTTTTGAAGTATGCTTAAATCACCCTAAGTACGTGAAACAACTATCCGCTTAGTGCATTTTATGCTTGTTTGATCAGCATTGTTGCGACTACTTGCATGTTTGAAGCAGTCAGTTTGTCATGGTCGGGGTACATCAGAAGCTCTCTTGAGGCTAGTTTCTTTTTGTCAAAAGTAATTCCAATGAGTTTCACTGATTCCAATACACTTCGAGATTGCATATTGCACATTTGCTGCAAATTGAAATAGTCTTCCAGTCTCCCACAATGTTGCGATGTTCAATGTACCTTAAAGAATGGTTGCTGTGTTTGTCAGAAGGGGCATCGAGGCATCCGAATCAACTGGGTTTTCATCATGAGATGTCATATTTCTTCTGAATGCATACATACCAACTGACAGAGCAGAGTTAAAATGGTTTGAATTATGTTTCCGGTAAAACCATGTGCACCGGATTCTTCATTTCATCTTTGAGCCAGACCAGCATTCTCGGCTGCATGATAAATAAACTGTAACTTTCCGCTGCTTCAGATTTGACTGAAACGGTTTCGTAAATTTAAAAGCGTACGGGAAAGGAATCGATTTCTATTGGGTAACGACCATTTTACTTTCAGCTTGTTTCTGGTAAGGCTGGTTGATAAGTAGAAGGAATATGAAGATGAACTGTTAAGAACAGTGATGGCACGTATGAAAGTAACGGTTGTAGGAAGGATTGGATAAAAGCCTTGCATTTTGGAAAGAGGGAAAAGATAAAAGGTTGTAGCTTACGATAATTGATGAGCAATCGCACTGTTTTAAGTATTTTAATTTCCACTTTCATAGACTACTTACGTAGGAGAGATACGAATATATATCACTGATGTAACAGTAAGCATACTTTGACCACGTCCATCCGCTCAGTATTTTATTGGACAGTATTTTTATCACTTCGCTCCTAGATCATGTCTTTTATTTAAAATTTATTCGGGATCAGTGCAGCAATGTTTCATGTTTCTCAATCATCAATATCGGAATTAAGTTATCGTCGACACATTTTATTTAATTTTACAATTTTTGTAACTGATTTTTCGAGAGTAAAGTCATGCCGGAAAAAATGCAAGGTGACCCGATTTTTGCGGTGATAGTTATTGATGTTATACTGTCGATCGGATACCATTGTCTGGTTGCTTACTTACTTGCTTGCGTCTGTTACCCTCAGTGGAGCATAGGCCACCCACCACTCTTCTCCAACCAACTCTGTCCTGGGCTTCCTTCTCCAGTTCTGTCCAATGTTTATTCATTCCTCTCATATCTTTCTCTATTTCTCGGCGTAATATGTTCCTTGGCCTTCCTCTTTTCCTTTTGCCTTGAGAGTTCCATGTGAGGGCTTTTCTCGTGTCGCAGTTCGGTGCTTTTCTTAGTGTGTGTCCTATCCACCAACTCCACCGCTTCTTCCTGATTTCCTCCTCCACTGCGATGTGGTTTGTTTTCTCCCACAGTACGTTGTTGCTAACGATGTCTGGCCAACCAATCCGAAGTATTTTGCGTAGACAACTGTTAATAAACACTTTTATCTTCTGGGTGATGGCTTTAGTAGTTCCCCATATTTCCGCTCCATACAGTAGAACTGTCTTGACATTTGTATAGAAAAGCCTTATTTTGGTTTTGGTTGAAAGGTGTTTGGAGTTCCAGATATTTTTCAACTGTAGAAATGAAGCCCTTGCTTTGCCAATCCGTGCACTCACATCTGCATCCGATCCACCTTTCTCGTCGATGATGCTGCCCAGATATTTAAAGACGTTAATGTCCCCCAAGGCATCTCTATCAATAGTGATTTGGATCGGATAATTTCGCTTTTTCCTTTATGTACGTTGAGACCTACTGCTGCAGAGGCTGCTGCTACACTGGTCGTCTTCTCTTGCATTTGTTGTTGAGTGTGTGATAGAAGAGCCAGGTCATCTGCGAAGTCCAGATCGTCCAGCTGCGTCCTAACTGTCCAGTTGATACCGTGCTGACCTCCAGATGTCGACGTTTTCATAATCAACCCGTTGACCAGGAGAAAATGAAAGGGTGAGAGTAAGCAACCTTGCCTCACACCGGTCTTCACCTCGAAAGAGTCTGTCAGCAGTTGAATCCATTATAAGAATTCCGTATGATGTTGACTATTTTCTCAGGCACACCGTAGTGTCGAAGAAGTTTGCACAGTGTTCTCCTATCCACGCTATCGAATGCTTTCTCTTAGTCGATGAAGTTGATGTAGAGTGGTGAGTTCAATTCAATTGATTGTTCCACAATGGTCCATAATGTAGCAATTTGGTCAGTGCACGATCGATCCTTACGGAATCCGGTCTGTTGATCTCGAAGTTGGGCTTCTACGAAGTCCTTCATTCTGTTAAGCAATACCCTGTTGAAGAATTTGCCGGGTATTGAAAGAAAAGTGATGCCTCTGTAGTTCTCACACTTGCTGAGATCGCCTTTCTTTGGTATTTTGATCAGGTATCCTTCTTTCCATGCTGATGGTACTTGTTCCTCATCCCAAATCTTCTTGAAGAGGAAGTGAAATATTTTCGCAGTTGCTTCTACATCTGCTTTCATTGCCTCTGCTGGAATGTTTTCTGATCCTGCTGCTTTGCCGCCCTTGATTTGTCTGATAGCCATACTGATTGCGTCCTTAATCGCTTTCCAATTGTTCTCCATGATTGCTTTATCTACATTCAGTAGATCCTGAAAGGCTTGGAACCTATTTGTGAGGGATATCCTGAATTCGTTGAGGCTTACAGTATCTCGAAGAAAGGCCGTATTAAACTTGTAAGTTGTTGTCTGCTCCGTTGTCCAGTGCTTCTTTAGTTTCAGTTTCATTTTGGCGACCAGCAAGTGGTGATCTGAAGCTATGTCTGCTCCTCTATTGGTTCTCACAACCTCATTTACATGTTGAGCTAGGTAAACTCCCGAATGTGCAGAACAGGCAATATCATTTGCTGTTTTGTTTCGTCTCCCAAATTAAAACTGATCGAATTGAGCGCACATTATATGTTTTCCTACAATTAATTAGGAGTCAATCGAAAACTATTCAAATGCCACACATTTTCGAATGAATAATCGAAAAATCTTACGTACGTTATCTCCACTTTCAGACAAAATGGTTGAAATGTGATAATTCCAAAGTAAAATAGACTAAGTCATGATCTAGTCTTAAAATATTTATTACATAACGTCTGTATTTTTTCATTGAAAATTTCGAATATCAAAGTTTAAGAAATCGAATTACTGCAAGTTTTATTGACTGCTGTACTTTGCTCCGTTTCACAACAAATTGATGCTGAAATTGGAGTTCGTATTTGTTAATTTTATACAGGCTATCATTAGTTTAAAGTGTTTATATTGTCAAGTGGTCCAGATTCAGATAAACATATGTTTGCACAGTTATGTATCAAATCTTATCTGTCATTTTACTTTGCTCTTATTGAATTGCACATATTGTTGTAATATAAATGAGATTTTGTGAGAAGGCAAGTTATGATGAACGGTGATTATATCGGAATTGGTAGGTGAGTTTATTGGCATATGGAGTTGCTAGAGACATGACAATAAACACATTTACGTTTCCCGAAATTTAAAGTTACGTTTGCATTACGAGTAATCACCGGAACAATTAAGCAAATGCATGATGCTTTGGTTTTGATAGGCAAACAATGACATCAAATTCTCTTGTTGTTCCAAGTATGCCAAAGATGAACAGTTCAAAAGGTAGAGTGAATAAATTGATGAAAGTTGATCGTCTATTTGTTTTATCAACATACACGAAAACAGTAAGCTGTGATTTCGAATAATGATTGTTTGTGATGACAGATTTTAACATTTGTTGCAATACAAATATTCATCACATATTGCGTTCTAATCATGGCATCTGAAATGTAGGTTGACCGCTGATTAATAGCATTATTCTTTCAGTATTAAGGATAAACATTTTGAGTAAAAATGGATTTTTCCGTGTGCAGTTAACTGTTGCTGTTTTATCTGTGTAAGTTTATCAATGGACTTCACACATTACTTCTAATTCGTCTAATAACTGAACTGAAACTGAAAGTTGAATCAATAAGAATTCAATCAGCAATCAGTATGCTATGGCAATAACTCATGTCAAATTTATACTGTGGTAGATATTGTGTTAACATTTAAAAGCGCATGTAAGATTTCATTTGTGATCAAATCAATGACGTTCTTTCGGATTGAAAAAACGTTTGAATGATCATCTGTTATCAATTAGTTTGAATTGTGTATGTATCATGCTGCCTCTCTGTCTGAAATGTGAATGCATTCGCAGTTAACGTTGACGACTTCCTTACATTCATTCTGATTTGCGTACGTGTCACCTAATAATATAAATGAATATTTTGCTATTCTACGCATTCCATAGTTAAACTTCTAAAGCTTTCCATTCAAGTTAGTTACGCCACACTACAGTTAACTCAGACTTAAACAAAACAGTTGAGATTTCGTTTAAATAAATGAACAGTCTTCATTTCATATTATTCTCAACTTCATTTTTCATTTCCATGTTCCACATAAATGTATGGAAACTGCGATTGAATAGTTTTGTGATTGACTAGAATGACATGGAGGCAATGCACTTCAATGCGATTCATTAGTTAATAGATGTGTGTTTTCATAAATCAACGCAATATCATTCTCAGTTTGTTCTTCGTTGACATATTGAAAAATTCTAGCATTAATTTAACCTCCATTACATATCACCTATGTCTTTTTGGCTTCTGTTCTATTTTATAGATTGATCGCTTTTCTGATAGCATTATTGATCGCGCTTGTGAAGAAGATCAGTGAAAGTTATCCTCTGAACGTTGTCTTGGTGGTGTTTTATGTAAGAATCACTATCAAACGTTCGCTTTGCCAAATTTTGCGACTGTTTTGTGTAAATATGAGAATAATCTTTGTTACCGGAATATCCAACAGTACTGATTCTCCAACATGATAATATTTGTCATATCCGACAAGTTCTCAGATTGAAATAAATATTCGATCTGCGAGGATGTGGAAACCCGACGTTTCAGTTAAAATGCTTTTTCCTCATCACGTTCACTAAGAGACAATGTTTGATCCACGGAAACCTTAATTAACGGAAAACAAATAAAGACATAGTCACGTATCCAGCACCTCTAAATTGATCTCATTATTTAGGAAGAGAAATCTTGTTCACTCTCTATCCTACCGAAAATTTTATAGCCGTATAACAGAATTTTTGATGGAGATCTTCATTTGCTAAGATACATAATCTTCGAAAACGACTATCTTGACAAACATGTCAAGAACAACATGAAACACAGTCAGGTCCGGAATACTGGAAATCCACCAATCCACAGATTGATTTCACGCTTGTTTATTGAATCCGTTCACATCTACATAAATTCCCTCCCTCGTAGCTAGAAGCTACAACATTCTATGAAATGAACTGAAAACTGAATGCATAAAAGAACCTTGCCTCATCAATTTTCCTAACGTGGCTACACACTATGATTGTTGGTATTGTCTTACTTTAATTGCCTTCATGGATTTCGCATGTAAAAATAATCCATTCATTGAGAAAAGGCTTGCCCACTTCATTTTAGATTTTCGATTTTCGAAGTGAATCGTATGTGTTTCATTGGGAAAACGCATAGTTTACGCTAAAATGTTTTTGAATTATTATCATTTGCTGAAACTTTTAAATTACACAGGCAAATTAACAGCGTTACTCGATAGAGTGCTTCCCGAATATCAGCAACACTAGTTTCGAACCTAAAGGTGTCCTCTAAAAAAACCGAATAGCCATAAATCCTCTTGTGAGTGATTTTCAAAAGGTTCCACATCAATATTGTAACACAAAACTACACTCGTCAGTGAACGAATTCAGTTCAAACTACAATATCCATTCTATTTTTCAGTCTTTTTTCTTATCCACAGTACTTGGAGTATCGAATACGAATCGAAATACTCTTTGCACTCTCGCTGCCTTTGGAATCAGTTTGGCAATCTTCATATGTGCATTACTAATTGGTTCAGCAATCAAGGCATATCTAGTGGACCTTCCAGCAACTATTCTAATATCACTTAGTGCTATATCGCTTGTTATTCTGGCAATCTTGACTACACTCAGCGTTCTGAAATTCACGGTACCTCAGTAATTTCATCTATTTTATAACTATATCATTCCATGAGCACTGAAAATTATTTTAGCTTATTACAATACTAAAACACACGTTTCAGGTATGGTTCTTCTGAATCCTCAAATCCCAACTTATCTTTAGCATCCAACAAGTGAAAATACATGAGTAACGAATGCTTCTTGTTGGAATTCAGAAAGAATAAGTAAGCTTCAGGGAGAGATTACGTACAGAAATTTGTCGGTATTTACAACTATCCATGCTTAACATCATATAAGTTCAAGACTGCTGCGTGAGTATGAATGCCTCACATCTGTGTTGGCGAGATAGTCAGTTTGTGGTAGACAAACAATCTTGTTGACATAACAAAATTACACAAATCCTGTAATCGTTTGTCGAATCATCCTCTATCTACTTGAATCTAATTAGTTAATGATCCGAAATTCATCACATGTATGAAGCTATGTTCGACCGAAATCTGACACTGGTGCATACAGACATGATACTCAAACTTCGCAACACTTACACATGATGTTTAGTCCGTATTCAAACTGGGCCTCTGTACAAGATGTTTATGATATTGTGCCCTGAGCGAATCACATACAGGAAAGACACACTACATAAAGCTCGTAGTTGTTTCTATCATTTTGCAGACAAACACTTTGGCTAAACATCAAGAACCCATTCTCATATCCTAATCTGCATCACTCAGATTGATAAACAAACAACGCTCAACATAAAATATTCTTCACAAAAAATGTATATTTACATCATTTTTTTATTTCAAACTGTATACTTTGATGTTTTCAAATATACAAATTCACTCAGCACTTTAATCGATTTTCAGGTAGAGCTCTATGTTGATATTGGTGCAGAAATATTGTTCTTTTTTGTAAGTTACTTTCATCCAAATTTGATGTTTTATACATAGTTCTGTCTATCATGCTGAAGAGAGCATAAACAAAAAAAATTGAGCAGAATGACATGACATCTTCTAGGTTTGTATGATTTTGATCAACCGCTTAACGCCACATCAGTCTGAATTTACCCGGTGGTCAAAAAGTTATTAGTAAATGAAGTAACATATTCAGTAACCGAATAACTAGTTTTTCTAGCTATATGTATTGTACTGATTAACAGAATGATCAGTGACAAGTACAAATATACTGTTAGTTCAGCCGAATTCCTCTTACTTGACAAGATTACCTGTGTGCATACATCAACATCGAGACTCATAGGATGTTGAAGGAAATAAAATAATCAAGTACAGTGGGATTGTAACTCGTTTACATATTGTGTGATAGTAGAGTGTGATAGTAGATTACGACGTTCGTCTAAGGTAGAATCCTTGGCAGAATAATGTAGACTTTGTCACAAGTGTGCGTCTTTCAAATATTTGAAAACGTGCGACAGCCGACCAAATGTTATTACATTGAATATACATTCCCTTCAGTGAGACTAATGATCAGAAAACATTCAAAACTGCGATGTCTTAATAAATTGCGTGCCTATAAATGTTATATGTAATTGTGATATTTTAACCCATTTTTGTGCGTGATCATCGACTCATTTTCTGGTTCAGAAACATCTTTCAAGTGTCGTATCAAACCATTTTTTGACCTTATTACAAGCAGTGATTCACACTTTTTGTGAATGAAGACATGAACAGCTTTTTAATTCATCGCTTCACCCAACCAAACATTTATCAACTGAATCCGACATCCTGTTCTCATTCCTCTTCATGCCTAACCGTCCCTTCACAAGTTCCGCAAGAACAGCGTCAGTAGTTTTAACTTGATAAACGAACACACAATACAGAACGTTGGTTTGACGCACTTGTTTATCTATACATTAGCTGTTAATTTATGAAGTTACAACTAATAGGTGTTACATTTATTTTACAGATAACAATATTTATAAGTCATTTGACAGTTGGAAAATCACGTTACTTTCTCTTCTATCCAAATTATGCTTTTGCATCAATTTTCTTGTACACTGTGTTTTTCGCCTATCTACCAGTCAATATTGATATGTTTGGATATATTGCTAATGCAAGTTCAATAAACTGTACCAAATCGATTTAGGAACTGAGCTTCATCTGTTGTTGCTTTTTTACCGTTGTTTCTTTATTCATGTTGAAATCTGAATACCATTATGATTGAGAATGTGAAGAATTATAAATTTGTGTAAAATAATCATATATGTGTTTTCAGTTTCAACCAAATACACATGATGTACATAGTGATTTCCTAGTAGCTTTTTATTTCCATTTTTGATTTTTCAGATAAATAGAAGTAATGTATTGGTAGTAATAAAGTTGAGCATCCAATACTTCACCAAAGTGATTATTAAAGAGAACGGTTGTTTGTTTTCGTCATGATATATGCTGATCGAAATCTGAACGTGGTACATGCTAAGACCCCGAAATAATAGCTTGAGGGAGTAGGCCAGTGTGAATATAAAAGTCCTTATTACTAACAAATTATATCTATATATACTCGTCCATGGATTTCCTGAAAATAATACACACAATTCAAGCCAGCCGAAAGGCATGGTCTGGGTAAGGTAATTAAAATAAAGACGGTGAAGTAGTAGGCTAGTTACAAAGTAGTCAAACAATTCATTTTCCTATTCAGAAAGTTTATCACAAACTTTCTTTTTGGTTTGCGTGTAATTAAGTGAAGCACCATTTACACACCGATAACTGTTAGTAACAAATGTATTGATGCTTTGAAGCGCGTTTTGATATATGAGGTGTTGCAATAGTCAGCGATAATACCAGATTCTAGAGGAGTAAGACAGAAAATTCAGATAAAATGTTGGTATATCAGGTCCACTATATGTGAAACAAACAGCTGGAATACCGTCTACTTTTTGACTGTTTCGGAAGTTCAGGTGGTCCGCAGCCCAACTGATTGCTAGATAACTGAAAGATACAGAATTGTTTGTTTTACCGGTCGCACGAATATGTTTTCAAATGGTAATTGTTTGCAAATGCAGAACTCTGAATGTTTGTAGGGGTTATCAGCTACATTACGAACGTGTTGTTATATACCGTGAAACGTTTACAGGAAAGGAATAATTCGTTTTGTACTCTCAAGTGTTATCAACTTGTCATTGATGGATTCCATTACATACAATCGCTTGATTAGATCAACAACTGTAGTTATTTGAACAGTTGCCGTCAAATCATCTGAGTGAAAGAAAAGTTTCATTAGGCATCTTGAATTTTAATAATATTCACCTGGTTTCAGTAATTCGATATGCTTCAAAAGTTGCTCAGCCATCTGTAGTCACACACTCATTTGTTGTTGAATCATTGCTGTTACTTTCGGTTTCAGAACTCACATTTCATTTACACTATCGTACGATACGGCTATTCTCTGAAATGCTTTTACCAAGTCTACTGCAAATATCCAGACTAATATATGTGGATTGGAATAAGGTTCTGAAGAAAGAGGAATAAAGAAAACGGGACGAGGAGCAGAACAGAAAATATTCATATTCAAAGCCGAACAACGGCTTCGCACATACGTTTATGGATAAAACAAAGGTATGTTTACCCAAACATTTTTAATATCAGAACACTTTACATCTGGCTTAAAGTAAAGTTTCATTAGGCATCTTGAAATTTATTAATATTCACCTGGTTTTAGTAATTCTATATGCTTCAATAATTGTTCAGCCATCTGTTGGTATGATAGAATGTGTAAAATGCATCGACTACTCTGCCAGTTGAGAAGTACGTATTACTGTAGGCACATTTGCATATATATATTTGTATTTTCTCCTATATTTGTATCAATCATTATTTATTTTGAAAAATCACGAAATTGTGGCATTGACTCTTGTTCTATAATAACGGTCGTCAAGACGGCCAAATACGGAATTAAGGTGAAAAATGAAGTCCGTCGCCACACTCTCAGATTCCATTTGTTTGTTGAAACATTATTGTTATTTTTGGTTTCAGAACTCATATGTCATTTACACTATTGTGCAATCCGAAATGCTATGCCAGATTATTCCTACATTTTCAGATATCCACACCAGATAATCATCTAACAGATCTAACAAACTGAAGTACGTACCCATTTATTGCATAATGAGTAATAAATAAACTGTCTGCGGACAAGTGGCTGTTTCAGTTTCGAAATATGACGAAACTGAAATAGAAGAAATATCGTGTAATTAACGAAAAAACTAATAGATCGATAGTAGTAATGTTTGATTGCACATCATATCAGTCATTTGAATACTCAATCTTGATATCCATGAAATACGGTAAGATTTAAGAGAATGAATGTATGTTTATGCAAATTATGGTGATCAGATTGGATTTCAAAATAAATTGAAGTACTTAAACTGAATGAAACGAGTCTGCGTACATTATCAATATGTAGACTATCTCAATTTGATATGTAACATACGTTTCAATCAAACGAAATATCAACAAGTAAACATAACATCTGTATTCAATGCCGAACACCCTTTAAAAAGGACAGTATTATTTTGTTTTTACTGATATGAATCGCAATTTACTCAATATTACGATTAACTCTGTCTTTCATGATTTCCATGCCTTTATGCCAAATTCCATACAGACGTCTATAATACTGTGCACAAACTGGAATCTAGGCACAATATATAATTCACAAAAAACTTTACCTTGATACAAATCTATCAGCTGTACCGATAACCGGAGTTTAGGTTCAACCAAAGAACACCACTTGTTAGAATCCATCAATGATGATTAGGTAGCACTTGACAGCATTAAGTGAAGACTCAAAAACATTTTCTTCCTGCACACTTAACGCATCAAAGCATCTCAATGCACACATGTAACACGAGTTTTGTATAATGACATAATCATAAATTACTTCACAACCATCAAAACTCCTTACTCAATAAATTCTATTTCTCCTACTGATATAGCAATCAGTAAAACTAATAGCTTCCTTATCGTCTCAAACAGTTACGGAGTAGAAAGGTTCTCATCCATTCTACTCAAACATGATACACCTGATTTATCACTGGTTATTCAAAAGCTGTCTAATCCCTATATCACCACCAGTCGCTCTCTTGAGACGGGCACGATAACTGATTATTGGATTACCTCATACATCATAGAACTCTACAAATCAGGGAGTAAATCTAACATCACCGAATAGATGAATGATAATTGTGATCCATTTTGTGTGGGTATGCCTATTCTTTATCCTTATGATCTTGAGGTAGAGTATTCATTCTCCTTCCCAATCGGCTGAACAGTAGATGTGATTTCATATGTTTTCGGGCTAAATCGGGAGGCTCAGTTGTGCTTATAATGTCATTTCTAGCTCAAAGTCTTCTTGGTTGCCCTTTTCTTTATTATACTAATAAAGAAGCATGCATTTTACTGCACAAAGTTTGTGTTTCACTCTACTTGAGACACTGTAGGTTCATTTCAGGACGTGTTCACACTAATGACAAAGGAAGACGATTTGCACTGCATTCTCGGAACTCACTAAAAATCAAATTAAATATCCGAATATCATTGTCTATTAATGCAAGAAGATAATAAATGCCTACCTACATTTATTTCTACTGAATACTTAACTACCTGTGTTTTACATCGGATGGAATAAACATTTTTACTATTTATGATACGATCTTCAAATAATTTTTTAAGTAGCTGGAATGGTTGACCGCAATTTATCACTGTCACTCTTTTTCCGTGAAGTCGATGAATAATAAATTTCGGTAATGTATTCCACCTACTTACAACTGTGAGTAAACCCATTTCACAAGTGAGATTATAGGAACTGTGAATGTTTGATCACTTTATTACCCAGTCAATGAATTCATTAATTTACATGCAGTGGCATTTTACTTACAATCTTACCTGTCAGTTTGCTCAACTGGAATAGGATGTAACAAAAACCATAAGTCGTACTATGAACCTGCACTTGAAGCTTGGTGCACCTAAAGGAACTATCAAGTAATCATTGCTTTTACTGTTCCATATTTTCGGCCTTCCTTTTGTTTTCTCTAGTTAATGATGCCATCACACGGCACTTGTTAGGGTTTTAGATCTCCAGAATCCACTTGATAAAAGTCCAGATTTTGGATTATGTGTTTTCATGCACTGACTGATCAGTTGACATTGAGATTAAGTTCCTCACCTGGAAAATCTTTGACTGTTACTTTGTGATGTGTCTCCTTAGTATGATATTTTTGTGATTCTCTGAAGGAAGTTTCTACAATGTAAATAAGATCAATTCGCATGCTTGTCAAACTCATAATTTCTGGGTGCCTGTAGAACACGCTTCCTCCGACTTATCAAGCATTTTGATATATTTAGCAGGGTTCCGAGAAAATCGAATCTTAATAGCCTAAGGTTTCGCTGCATCAGTTGTATTCGCTTTCGTTTACCGAGTAGGGTGAAATCGTAACAAATCCAAGCATATCAATTAACCAGCGTATCCATTTGGCTGGGTTGATTTTAGGAACCTGTATCCTGCCAAACTTGAATTATGATTTGAGCAGCAGATCAAATTAATGCAGCTGTTATCAGATATCAAGACTTATTCTTCAACACAGCATAGCACATCTAATGCAATCAGAGCACTCTCAGTCAACAGCATCACAAACAGAAATAGATGGCATATAAATTGCCTTCGCGTTTTAGCGGAATCACAATGCAAAGTTACTTTCCGAAACTAGTCATTTGCTGAGGTATGTTATATAACTACAACTGATCCAAATTTACTTTGTTTAGATTGGTTCGATCATCCGAAATTGACTCATGTCCCGTTAAATACCCTATGCTCCGTGGAATCATGACCACATGATCTTGCAGCATATACGAGGAAGCTGACGACTCAGTTTTCAAGCATCTTCCAACTTGAAAGCAACACTTCGGTAGAAACCTGTGATTAGCCTACTTTCTGTCCAAAAGGACCCGTACCATATGAAGCATTAGTGACAGTAGATGAAAAATGGTATCGCCTTTAACAACACAGAGTTATTACAGGCTTTACTTATGCTGCTTGGGCAGCCTCTTTAGCTGCTTTTAGGAAGTCCAAAAGCACAATATGTATATGAG